CGGTCGCTTGCGGTGGCAGCGGGGACACCAGCAGGGCAACGAGAGACAGCCCGAGGGAAAGGGGGAAAGGGCTCGCTGCCGCTCCAGCGCTCGTCCACAGTGTTATGGCACCAAGACAATACTGATTTAGGCAGCTCGTGGAGTGCTCATTAATTGCTCTGTAATGCTTTCCTCGTTCAGGCTTACTGACGTGATTTAACGAGAACTCGCAGTTATGCAGAAAACACCCAAGAGGAACAAACAGTCATTTGCTTCTTATGAGGAACCAGCAGTTCTTCCTCCTGACAAGAAAAAAAGAGAAAGTAGAGATGACTTTGTAGCAGTTTTGCCTCCAGAAGTCTGCTTTCAAATCTTCAATGAACTTGACATTCAGAGCCTGTGTAATGCAGCAATGACATGCAAGAGCTGGAATCATGCTATTGAGAATAATGACTCTTTGTGGAAAAATCACTGCTTAACTGTAAGAGCTGTCTGTCAACGAGAGATTGATTACGATCGGCAAAATGGATATTCATGGAAGGTAAATTTAAGGTGAACAACAGTGCTGGCAACTAAATAGTTTCTAGGATTAATAACAGATATAGATAGAAAAAAATCTGTTCAAGATTAATGACTAGTGTTTGGAGAACCACTATAATCAGTGTGGTTCAGCAGAGAAATCGAACAACTGGAAATCTGTATAAATATGCAAAGAAATAAGTGTAAGGCTGTTCTGTTGCCTACCTAAAACCATGTTTGGCTTGCCTAACAAGTTCTGTTTAGTCCTCAAGCTATCAAAGGCATCCAGCCCAGGAGAGCAGCCGAACTGGCCAGTGCAGCCTCAAAACTGGGTTCTTATGATCCCATCAGAAAGACTGAATAGCCCTAATATCAAAGAAAGCCCACATCCTAACATCGAGGCAGGGGAGAGAAAACAACATACCCCTCCACTAGTCTGTCTATGTTCTCTAGTAGTATTTAATTGGAATAATTCTGCTTGGGGAAGATGAGTTCCTGGAGTTTATGTGAGATAGCTTTGCCTCAGCTTATGTTGAGCCACATGCATGCAGAGGTAGGAATTTGGGATGGGGAAGAGAAAACAGAAGATGCTACAAGAACTGAGAGCAGCTGGTTTGGAACTCCGCCCTCTCCCCCTCCTCTCAACAGTCCCAGTTGCAGCTGCACTGAACAAGGAGCAGCTGAGCATGCTGGAAGGTTCAGCAAGTTCACTGACACTGTTGAGTCCAGCCTGCAAACTGAAGTAGATGAGGAAAGAAGCAGGTTCAGACACTCCTTTGAACTAGCAAGGGGAAGATCTCCACCTCATTTTAGTCAGTGCATCTCAAAGCAGGGCAGGAGAGGGAGAAGCAAAAAATAAAACAAACAAAAAAACCCCACCCACACACTTCTCCTGGACTCTCACCTTTCAGAAGTGTTCTGGTGTGAGGCAAAGCCTTGAGCAGGCAGTGGTTGCCCTCCTCCAAAGCAAGCAACAGCATCACTCCTCTAGGATTTGAGAGTATTATCCAATTTAAGGGTTTTCCTTCTCTTGTACACCAGTTTCCAAAGCTCCTTGCCCTGGTTCTCTATTTTGAAGAGGGATTTGAAGTAGAAGCAGTAAATACACCAGGTCAGCATATTCTTGTGCTAAAAGGTTGGCTGAATAGAAGAATTCAACCAGCCTGCATTATGAGCACACACAAGAGAGTTAAAGGCCCTATATATATATATATTTTAAAAACCACACATGCACAAACGCACTCAATTTCAATGGGAAGAGAAAGCAAAAGGCATTTCTTTTAAAAAGTATAGAGAAAGATGAATTCCTGTTTGGGGTTTTCATTTCCTCATCATCTTTACCCTCTAAGAATTGAGGCAAGCAGTGATTCTCAACCTATCTTAGAGCAAAAAATCCCGATGGAAATAGACCAAGGGCTACTCCTTGTCAGTGGTATACCTTTATGGTCTTAGGATATAGATACCCACATTCCAAATCCCTTTTCTGGCATTACTCTTCAGTTCTCCAAGTTTCCAGTGCAAAACCTATTTGTCTTGAATGCAACTTAAATCCATTTATTTTCAGAACTTTAGCTGTCTGTTTTTCCATCAGATCACATTACTGAGAAACTATTGGAAAAGCAAAGTGAAGCAAGAATGGCTGAGCGGGAAATATAGTAACATTCATTCACGCAGCAGCTTGCCAGAGAAAAGCATGTATCCAATGGATGTTGACACTTGGGGAGAAATTCTGGAAGCAGAACTAGAGAGATGAGAAACCAATTTAAGGTTCTTAAGTTGCAGGAACCAGCGTCAACCACTCAGACTGCCAAACTGTAAATATTTTACTATTTAAATTAGTTTTTGCAAACATGATGAAAGCTTCTCAGAGAAAAGATGTATTTACGTGACTTTGTTTGCACTTTATCAAATTGACTGATTTTTTTGCAAAATTCATTTTGCAAAAAACCTAAAACTAAATATTGTACCTAAAACTAAATATTGTAATCTTATATTGTAAATTTAATGATCTGTATTGTTAAACAGATGTTTATGTGGATTATACTTTCCATTTGCACTTTTTTTGAGAAGACAACTTTAAAAAAAAAAACAAACTGTTTGACTTAAAATGTGTTATATCAGCAGCACGTTAATGAGAGTCCACAAGATAAAGAGAGGGAAAGAAGAAATCCATACACCATAAAGGAAAAAAAAAGAAAAGAAAAAAGACTGGACAGCCACCTCAGGAATAGCCAGCTTTGTCTGAAGTGATAGAGCCTTCAAAAGGGTCCATTCTAAACCTGTGCCCATTGAAGAGCTAATGTTCATCAGCACCACGTTTCTATTGCTTTGACTCTGCAGGCTGTGGGATATCTGGATTAAGAGCAGGGCAGTGGACAGGACTGAAGCAGCCACAGAACAGGGAGCCTCTGCTATTAGCCATGCATGTTTGTCATTTGCATAACTAGGTAGCTGAGCAGGGAATAAAACAAAATTTTAAACACATGAAACATAACAAAGATATCCTGACTACAAAAATACACAAAGTCTCATATGGTTTAAGCACAGAGACAAAACCAGGTTTTTTTATGTTAATAATCTCCCATTTCACAGACCTACTTTATAGCCTTTTTTTTTTTTTTTTTTTTTTAAAAACACAGACTTTTAGAAATGCTGGTAGTGAGAGGTAGACCCCTATCAGAGAAATGGTTGAAGTTGGAAGGGACCTCTGGAGATCATCTAGTCCACCCTCCCTGCTCAAGCAGGGTCCTCT